TTTATTGATCTGGCTGCACTGGGTCTTAGCTGCAGCATGTGGTATCTCTAGTTGTGACATGTGAGATCCAGTTCCCTGACCAGGGGTCGAACCTGGGCCCCTTGCATCGGAAGCATGGAGTCTTAGCCACTGGACCACCGGGGAAGTCCCCACACTCTGCTTCTGGACGCTGGTCACACGATGTGTTCACTTTAGGGAATTTGGTGAACTGTACAGGTATGATTTGTGCTCCCTTGTGTATGCACAAGACTTACCTGCTGAACCTATATAACTACTAGAAACACAAGTGGAAATAAAATAGAAAAGGGGTCATAGAGAAATGGCACCTGGCAAGGTCACAGGGATTTCTTTAAGATGCCAAGCTTCTGTTACTGCTATTTTCTGAACTATAAAGGATGCAGGAAAACACATTTTTTTGAAAACAGAGGGCCCCCATCTTGGTCCATTATTTCCCCATGAGCTAGTCTCACCTCTAAAAGGAGGAGCGTATCTATAGCACAAGCACCTCTTCTCTCCCTTTATGATTCCCGTCTCCCATTGGCCTTTCCTAGGACTCACTTTCACCTTGTTACCTTTTCTCTTGAATGTTTTCTTCTCAGCCCAGCTTCTGTCTTCCCTCATCATAACCAGCTACACCTCCACCCCATTTTCCAGTGTTAACTCTGTGGTAGTCCTATCCAAACACTCATTATGGATCATCTCAATCAATGCCTCCCAAAGCTCCTACCAGATGGGTACCATTATCATCACCCCTATTGTACAGACGAGGAAACTGAAGCTGAGGATGTTATCAAAGTCACCAGCTCCTAAAAGGTCCAGTTGGGGCTGACCATGGCTACAAAATATGGCTGAGACAGGTGGAGGCTTATTCTGGACCCATGGAGCAAGAGAAAGCAATTGGCATTAGCCAAAGTCACAGGGAAGAATGCCAATACTTCTTCCAACCACCCTGGTGTCAAGATGGCCAGGATGGACTTCCCTGGCAGTCCAGTGGTGAAGACTCTGTGCTTCCACTGCAGGAGCTATGGGTTTGGTCCCTGTTAGGGAATCTAAGCTCCTGCATGCCACTCAGCCAAAAAAAAAAAGAAGAGAGAGAGACAGAGAGAAAATTTCTTGAACTGAGTAAAAATGCAAATACAACATTCAATTAAAATTTGTTTTAAAAAAAGAGTGGCCAGGATACAGAAGGAGACCCTTGATTCTGGCCAGTAGCCTCTCCAAAGATGTCCAACTTTGGAAGGACTGGGGAGGGTGATGCATTCAGCACCAGTTTTAAAGCCATTTTCCTATCGACAATCCCACAGGAAAATCCAGCTCATCCTGAGAACAGTTACACCAGATCTACCAGGCAGGATATGAGCTGGGTCTAAGGATTCAGTGCCCTCTTTTTACAGAACAGGGTGCAGGGGACGGCCGGGGAGGGGCCAGCACATGCGAGGGTGTCTGGGCTGGGCCCAGAACACGAGATTCCTGGTTTCTGGCCTGGGGCTCTTCCGAGGGAACTGGCTGCTCTCGTGGCAGAGTCCTGCTGCTCCGCCGTCCCCGGCCCCAACAGTCTCCTGAGACTGAATCACAAAACGTTAGGCTTTCCCTTTGGAGTTGTTGTCTCAAAATAAATCTGGACCTTGATAAATGCTCTCTGAGTGGACGGATGGATAAAGAAACCAAATTTCAAAGCCCAGTGGGTGTGGGCTCAGTTGACTCCCTGCGGTTTCATTCAGGACAATCATGTCTGTTGTATAGGCTGTGCATGGAGCAAAAGAGCCTGGTGGGGGCAAGTATGGGCTGGAACCAAGCCTGGAGGACACCGTGTCTTCTCCCCAGAGGGGGTGCCTTGCTGCAACTCAGACAGAGGCTAATAGAAGCCCTTGGGTCAAAGGTCTCTGTCTCTTCTACCTGCAAAACCTTTCCTTCCCTTGGCAACACAGAAAACTCCTACGTCTCCTTACAAACCCTGTGAAGATACTGCCTTCTCTGTGAAGTCTTCCCTGAAGCTCAGCAGAATCAGTCTATCCTTGCTCTCTATCATTTTTGTAGTTTATACATGTATGTATGTCTTCAAGTCGCTCAGTTCTGTCTGACTTTTTGCGACCCCATGGACTGTAGCCTGCAAGGCTCCTCTGTCCATGGGATTTTCCTGGCAAGAATACGGCTCCTTTTCATTGTATTTTTATACATTATTAGAACTTTATTCATTTTTTGTTCAGTGTCTGGCTAATAAAGGCACGCAAAAAGTGATTGAACTGCAAACAGCTGCACAAGGGGTAAATTACATTAGCCACATTAACTTCTTCAAGTCCATTCATCCTTAGTGAAAGTTACTCAGCCATGTCTGACTCTTTGTGACCGTGTGGACTATACGGTCCAGGGAATTCTCCAGGCCAGAATACTGGAGTGGATAGCCATTTCCTTCTCCAGGGGATTGTCCCAAGCCTGGGATAGAGCCCAGGTCTCCCACATTGCAGGTGGATTCTTTACCAACTGAGCTATCAGGGAAGCCCCCCCAAATCAGGCTTTATTTCATGGACCTATCTGATCTTTGGGGGCTCAGTTGCTCTTCAGTTTCATCTGACTCTCTGCAACTCCATGGACTGTAGCCCACCAGGCTCCTCTGTCCATGGGATTTTTCAGGCAAGAATACTGGAGTGGGTTGCCATTTCCTCCCCTAGGGGATCTTCCCAACTCAAGGATCAAACTCGCATCTCCTGTGTGTCCTGCATAGCAGGTGGATTCTTTAGCCCCTGAGTATTTTGGCTATTTCTAAAGTTCCTCTGCCACTGTCCTAGTCCAGGCTACCATTGTCACTCTCTGCCTTTCAAGTCTCAGCTTAAATATCACCTCCAGAGACGGAGGACTTCTGCAATCATCAATGACTGTCCCTCCCCCAAGAGTTCCCTTCCATCACTCCGCTTATGTCCTTAACACTCTCTGCCACAAGACAAGGCTAGTCTATATACGAACAAAACTGGCCGATGTAGTCTTGTTGTCGGCCCCCATCAGAGCGTCAGTTCCTTGAAACGGGGCTTCTGTCTGCTGTGTCGCTTCTGTGGCTCGGCGCTTAGCCCAGAGCCTGGCACACAGTAGGACCTGACTGCTGCTGTCTGGATGGATGGATGCATGACTACGAGGACAAACAGGATTTTAACGTCTGATAGGTGAGGCATGCTTTCTTCACCCTGCGTGTCTGAAACCACAGCCAGGTCCCGGGGCGTGGGGGTCAGGAAGGTCTCCCTGACTCGGTTCTTGGCTTGATCTCCACTGGCCTGACGACCACATGTCTTGGTGTGGTCACCGGCCCCCAGGTCACGTCATGAGCCGTGCGTGGTGCCCCCCTGTGCCCAGACATGCTTTCTTCACCCTGCGTGTCTGAAACCACAGCCAGGTCCCGGGGCGTGGGGGCGAGGAAGGTCTTCCCTGACTCGGTTCTCGGCTTGATCTCCACTGGCCTGACGACCACATGTCTTGGTGCGGTCACCGGCCCCCAGGTCACGTCATGAGCCGTGCGTGGTGCCCCCCTGTGCCCAGACAAGGAATGTGGAGAGCTGCGCTGGGGGTGCCAACCGTGACAGCCGCCCGGGCGGGAGCGATTCACTGCTCCACACCGAGTCAGCGCGGTGAGCAGCCGCCCTGGGGGAGGCCCCGGGGAGCGCAGGGTAGGGAAGCAAGGGGGTGTGTGAGGAGCGTTGGGGGGCAGAAAGGAGACGGGAAGGAGGAAGCACAGGGCCCCAGGGATGCTGTTCTTTGGCATTCACTCTGACTCTGAACACTTTCTGAACTTCCTTCTCTTCAATGTCAAATAGTTCTAAGACTATATCAATGTATATCCATACACATACTGATTCATAAATGCACAGACTTATACGTACATAAGTGTATATAAATATATATTTGTGTATATAAATATATGTATAAATATATATGTGTGTATAAATGTAAAAACATATTAATTTAATATATATACACATATGGATATATGTGCTCCCCTGGTGGCTCAGGGGTAACGAATTCATCTGCAATGCAAGAGATGCAGGAGACGTGGGTTTGATCCCTGGGTTGGGAAGGTCCCCTGGAGGAGGAAATGGCAACCTACTTCAGCATTCTTGCCTGGGAAATCCCATGGACAGAGGTGCCTGGTGGGCTACAGCCGATGGGTTGCAAAGAGTTGGACATGAGCGTGCATGCATATGGATATATGTGCTTCAATAATAATTTCTGTTTTAATTTTTACTTTAATTTTAAAATATCCTAAGTTGCCCATTCTTTCCTAACCAAGCTCAGAGAAAACCTGGTAATAATGCAGTTACCACTTTAACCTAGTGGTTCTC